TGAATCTTTCCACTGTTGCTTAGAACAGCCATTGATTAGTCTCTTATTGACATGAGTGCATCCCGTGGAGATTGCTTTGATATTGCCTTAAGTCACATGGAAAATAAGCAGGGGTGGATGATGGTTTGCAGTCCTATTTGAGACTCGTCAACGATTGCACCGCTCATCACCATCCAATTTTCTGATATAACGGATTATTTAAAATATTCTTTTCTCTCTCATGTTTACTACAATAATATAACTAGCCATGCTACATCAGAACCAGGATTCACCACGCAGAATAGGAAACCAGAATAACACTAGATAATACCTCATTCAATACAGTTATAAACAGTCGCACCCAGTGAATCAGCAGTATGATTCAATAAGTTTGAAAGAACTCACATATAAAAAGGATTCAGCAAAATAAATTTTCTTTTCCACTCAATCATTTACTCAAACTACACATTCGTATTCATAGTTATATGGCAAATATATGTCTATAGAAGGCTAGAAAAGATTGCATCATAAAGTGATTCAAGATTGAAAATATCAAATGCAGTTGTGTATAACATTGTCGACTATTCAGTTACATGCATTATTACTTGATCCTCAATTTTGTAGTACGTCAACTATCATTGATGAACTCAATATGTATTCACGATATCTGTAACTAGATGACTACCCACAAAAGAACATAAGTCTCAATTATTTCATTCTCTTAAAAAATCAGGATTTAGTGCAGTCTCACCCAGATAAGGTTGCACGAATTGTCCTTATGGATGTTCAGCACTATGTCACAAAACTATTCTTGATAGTATCTGATGCTGTCAAATTCTCTAAGATGCGATTGAGAAGATGGAACAGATGTTAACTAAAATCATGAGGGAGATGGAAGATGACTTTATTATCAATTGTGACCTCTATGAACGTCTTAGACCATCATGTTCCACTATACTAGGAATATATGAACTCCCAAAAGTTCAGAAGAAGAACATCTCCCTATGTTCTATACTTGATATGAATAACTCTCTGTATCGTTTGTTTGCTAAATGGTTTGCTGAAATTCTACAACCCGTGAGAAATCACATCAATAGATACAACGCTCATGATTCGTTCGATTTTGTCGATTCAGAAATATCATTGTAAATGATCTCATTGTATGGCACTTCTCTCTTTACAAATGTTCCACTCACAGAAACCATGTGATTTTTATGTGACGATATTGAAATAACAACATTGATATTAGTACCCTAAAACATTATCTAGAAGAGCTATTTCTACGATGTACCCTCAATGTGCAATTCAGGTTTAGTTATTATTTCTATGGACAAACAGATGAAATTGGAATAGGTTCATCACTAGCTCCCTGCACTCTTGGCTGATTTTTTCATGGATAATCTGGAAAATACAGTACTTCGACCGATAATTGAGAGATTTCATTTATCTAAGAGATGTATGGATGATAGTTTATGGTATTAGTGACTGATAATGGGTCTCATTTTGCTGCAGACATAGTCACTACCTGGTTCAATCGTACAGGGTGTAGACATCTGTTCACTGTTTCCAGGCATCATTGTGCTAATCGTCAGGCAAAACATTCCGTTAGGAAATTGAAAAATGCTATTAATCCCATTATTGCTTCCATATTTGATGGACTGGAGAGAGGAGTAGACACAGTTCTACTGCAATATGGAAATGCTAAGCATTCTGTAACGAAAGAGATTCCAACAAAGCTGATAAAAGGAAGAATCCTTCGTTCGAATATAAGGCGTTTAGAGTCTCCATGTGTTACATGTTATCGTGGAAATGATCTTCGACCAGTCATGAGAATTGTGGTGAAGAATGTTGCAAAATCCATGGTTGAAATCCTAGATGACAATGATTTAAGTACACACAACCGATATGTTGAACAAATACAATTCCAGGAACCAAGTGAATCTGTTCCAATTCCTGTTTTTAATTCTAATACTAATGAGCACATCCTAGATCATGCAGAATCTACATCCAATACACAATCGGACAAACACATGATGAACTTAAGGAAAAGTGCGATCGATTACAGAAATTTAGATTCCCATTAGTTGTACAAACTAATGATTGCTTTGTAATTGATTGCCCGCTGATTATCAATTCCAAATATAATGCGTTCCGTTGGCTCAGCTTGTTCCACTTGAGTTAAATTGCTCTATTTCGGGAGTTCTTAGTTTTGCACATAAATTCGAATACTTCAGATTACCACATACTTTTAAAATTTGTTAAGAAAAAATGGATCACAATGAAATTTCGGATTGGTTCAATAGTTGTCGTCACTCAATTTAATTCACGTTGGAAACAGAGGCGAATGAGGAATTTCATTTTCTAGATGTCCGGTTGAAAAGAAGTTCATATGGTTCTTTACAGGGATCTGTATATAAAAATTGAAATTGAAATAGAGCAAGAACAAACATTGATGCAGAATAGTATGAATTCATATTATTTCGAGGTTTCTCGTCAGCTGCTTACAAACCGAAATTGTGATAGAATTTTTACGTGGAGATAGTGTGAAACAATTGACATAAATGAGTGTAAATAACTTGATTACAATAATAACTATATATATATATATGCTAGAAACAAGTCAGAGGTCAAAAGAGGGGGGTTAATCCAGGGTGGGTGGTGTAATAATTTAGTGAAGTTCATAAATTGTGTGATAATTGTAGAGATTAATGGAATTAAATAATGATAAGGTAGATTACGTAATAATAATTAAATAGGGTTTGGAAAGTTAAGATGATTTAAGAGGATCAGGTGGTGGAAATGTGTGAATAAAATTTATTTTAAGAATTAGGTAATAGGGGGGGAGTATAAAATATCTTAGAATAAGTAAATGAATAAAATAACCAAAACACAAAACAAACAGAAACAAAAAGATTTCAAAAAGATTACCAGGGTAGTGATAAGTTTATTAAAGTCTCTTTTTGGATGCATAAGTCCGGTTTCAGTTTCTTGATTGCAATGGCTTCAACAAAGCGGAGAGTGGTAGTAGTTCTTTGTCTATTGATAATTTTAAACGCGCGTATAATATCGACGGTATGCCCGGTGTCAAGTAGATGCCCAGCTATTGCACTGTTAAAAGCTTTAGTCCCTCGCAGCGTCAAGTTCTTCGGAATATGCTCAGAAATCCGAACCTGTACTCTTCTCTCAGTTCTTCCAATGTATGTTCTTGCTCTATTTAAATTCACAAAGGGAACCAATTGCATGAAATTTATAAAAATTGACCTGGAATGGTCGATATACGGATTTCCATAGTTGGATTTTATTGAGTAGAAAAAGAAACATGATTCACTCTTTATCCTCAAGGTCTGGGGGAATGTTACAACGATGAAGTAGACGACGAACTACATCAACTTTGACAGACATTCATCAGAAATGCTTATCCACCTAGATTAATAGATAGGAACTTAACACCAAGACATCCTAAAAACAGCACCGACAGTTCAAAAGAAGACTTATTCTGAATATTGAATTTAAAGGAGATAAGGCTGCCGAAATCTTTTAAATACGTATTTTAAAATCCCTGAATAAAACCTATTCGAATAATCTCCGTCTTGTCTTCTCAAGCCGGCCTACCATTCACAGACATTATAGGGATAAACTTCTGCTTTTGTTCATGCTGATGTGCATCTATAAATGTACTTGTTCCTGTGTAGCAGGTTACATTGGCCGCATAAAGCGATCAATTTTTAAACGCATCTTAGAACAATACCTGACCTGACGTGTAAAGGGAGGATGCAAAACAGTTACCAGTCCGATACAGAAACACTTAATAACCAAAGGAACTGGGTCGAAGGAAGACCGAGTCAAAAACTTATGCTCTGTTGAGGCGTTGGCATTCGACAAATTCGAGCTTGAACTTTGCATGCAAAAATAACATGTGCACCCACTCATTCTCTCTTAGCTCTAAGTGCCTTCTGTGGTATGCTTTGGTCTTGCTTTCTTTTTTTAAGTTATTGTTTTGCAGTTTCAAACCATAATCAATTATACGCAGTGATGATGGTGGCTGACAGTGGGAGACAAGACGCCTGTTTCACCCTATTTGGGACCCGTCAGCTGGATGTATGTGCATCCCAGTTATTATTATACTCCAACAATTTTTTCATTATTCATTATTCATTTCATTATTCGGTTATTACTTTCACTTTTGTGTTTATCATTTCCCTTCATATCTGTAAAGCGAATAATTGTCTTTCATAATTCTAACCTGTAAATTATTCTCGTCCCTCTATTCTTCTCTAACCCCCTGATTATTATGTACTCTCGTTTGATATTTGGAGTGTCGAATCACCCCATGATGAGAAAACCATTTGCCTCAGAGAATAAAACTCCACCAGAATGATCTACCTGAGCTACAAATCGTCCTCACAATCTCACATCTTTGTTCATCCTACAGAAATATGATTACGACACAACTATAAATGTGAAAAAGAAAATTCCTTTCGCTGAATCCTCTTTATGTTTATACAATGACAATGAATTGTTTCAAGAAATCACATATTTATTAGTCGGTAGGCCAGTAGTACTTCAACTCCAATATTACACATTATTAAATTATTGTGTGGTTCATATTTGGTTCTCAATCGTTTGTCTCATATTGAGTATCTGAGATGCTTGATGCAATACTGTGATCCATCCACCTGGCGTGGTCTATTATAAATATGTCACGTTCAACTGGTCAGTTGTTGTATAACTCGATATCAAATATAGGACCGAAGAAAACCACTCGTTTCTGTTAGATCATTATGTACAATTTTCTCATAGATCACTTAAATCTAGAAAGCCAAAATGTGTATTTCTCTATATTACCAGTTATTCTTTTCTTCAAATAATATGATTGTGTTAACGGTTTTAGACTAGTTGATGATGATTTCATTTGCAATCAGAAAATTAATTCAATCCCTTTAAATGCTTCAACTAAATTTTGAGTGAGTTAAATTGAATAACATTATTTTCAAAATATGTCTTGAAACACAGAAACTTACTATGAACTGAACTGATTTAGTTACTGGGTTTAAAGGAGTTTTCAATGTTACATTATCTATGTTCCCTGTTTGATTAACTACACTGATTGATTTTATTTCTGGACTGAGATAGAAAATTATCGATTGTCTTTCACATTCCAATCCGGTACCATTCATCATTTGAACGGTTGTCTGAAGATACACCACATCTCTGAGTATTGGATTAAACAAAATGTATATTATGTAGAGAGTTATTTCATATCAATCGGTAAAACAGTTCAAATTCTGATGATTCAATCCAAATGGTAGTTGGATTCGATATTTGGTTTTACAAGCTTTTCAATCTAGTTTGATAGGACTAACTGATTACAATCAGCAGAGAAATAGCAAGAATATTTATAACTTCGCATCTACTTAGATTTCAGTATTTAAATATTTTGAGTACAGCGTAGACGTGTATAGCTCGAAAAGGGTGAAATTATTAGAATTTTGCACAATAATACGATTTTTTATTGCTAACTTAATCATATAATGTCGAGTATTGTCAGAGATCTTGTAAAACGTATAATGAATTATTTTCCTTTAATTCAAAGAGAATTATTTTGATATTGATGTAAACGAGTGTGTAGTTCCATAAGTCAAATGTTCCCAGCTGATTGTTTACTGTGTATCAGAAATATATAACATAGTTGGTTCATGAGGAAACATGATAACATTAGGTTTGTTTGTTCAAATTAAATCATATCCGCTAACTGTTGGAGGTATCACGGAGAACAATGTCAAATTTCTGTCTTCTTCATTGCTCCATTTTTTTCACTTTTCAGTGAACGTGAGTTTAGTTGGTTCGAAGTAAATGGTAATGAATAAAAAGCAATAATAACGCAATAATAACGAGGTTTGAAACCAATTTAAGAACATTAACATTGAAGGTTACACATTATTAATGAGGTTCGAAACCAAATTAAGACATGAATAAAACTAATTCATTCGGTCACTGGAATTTAGGCATGATATTCGCATTGCTTGGTGGATAACAGATAGATCTTCAAACTCTTTGTTCAAGACCAAAGTTTGTACTCTTCATGTGAGTAGTCATCAGCGTAATCGTTGATATGGAACATTATTATGGGCATTTGGACACTATCTGATCAGTAGAATGACTGTTTTATATAAAATTGATATTCAAGTGAAAAATGAATTCGCGTTAGAAGTGAACCAATTATTCCATGAAATAAGTATATAATAAAGGTCAGAACGATTTAAACATACCTATCAGGATAATCACTGAATGTGAACGATGACAGTTGAGATAGGACAACCTGAATTGATGGTTTTTCTGACCCTGTTCTTACACAACTCACAGATATTTTGCTAATATTAGTGACAACATTGAATCGACCAGTGATTTGCAACGGCCAAACAGTTCCGTTTTCCACAATTTTACTATCACTCAACTGGATATCCACTGAAAGACTGAGAGTGTTTCGCATTAAGGGTACACTGACCGTACCTAAAAATGGTCGATAATTTTATAAGATAGTGCATTGAAGAAAACCCTGAACATTTTATTCACTCTGAATTAACAGTTAGTGTTTTAAATATCAGGACTAAATTGGTTAGGAGCTAACTGAGGACAATAAAATTCAAAACGATACTGTCAAATAATCAATCAAGTAGTAAGTTACAATATATTGGATAGCGGTGACAAACAACAAATCAATTTATTTTATTCCACTTCACATAATGGCAAGGATTTTGCTTGCATTTTCATGAAATATCTTGGTTACTGTTTGTTATTAACCTTCATTGTAGAACATTTTCATTGTTTACACACAGAAAGAATTTATCTCGTTGTTTTCGTTACTGTAATGTAAAGCTGAGATGTCTTTTTGTACATGAACATTCCTCAAGATTTGGGCCATATCCATGAATGTTTAACAACATTCTTCTGATTGGAGAGAAGTTGAAGGACAGTATTCAGTTTACTGCTTATCTGGTGTTTATTAGTTAGAACATATATAAAGCCAGGTATTTTTGACTGTGAGGTAGGCTATTGAAAATTACAGGATGAAATGAAGATAAAAATTTCAAGGAAAACAGTAAGCTAGTGTTAGTGTTTTTCTGTCAAGTTTTATTCCAAAGTACTTCAACTTATTTCACTGTATTTAATCATGTGTTTCAGTTATATTTTGAGAGATATTTTCTCGCCTAACTTTGATCTTGTACACCAGTGTGGTGTATTCTACTTATGTCTGTTGACATAAGTAGTGTGTAACACCAATCAGAAGTGGAATGACTGACAGCCGAAGGTTGAGAAGATCGAATTGAAGAGAATGGGAATGTAGAGAAAGAGAGAGAGTGTGTGATTGTAATAGCACTGAAAGAACGATGGAGTTCGTTCACTATTCTAGTAATATTCTAGTCTACTTAAATTTTAGACTTTCGTTGTAAAGATAATTCAGTCTTCAAGTGTCATCTAAAGTGATATTGTGGTAAAATATTTTAACTGCAAAAGAAGTTGCATAACACTATCCGTTAAGAATAAACATATTTTGCTCAAATTGACAAATTTGAAACATAAAGTGTTTCATGAATTAAGAAACATATCTATGATATTGAATTTTTTTAGTGTAAGTAATGACAGTTACCCAAGAAATAGCCATATATGAACTGACAAACCGTAGTTTTTCATTAAACTCACCAATGTTTGTGATATTTTCGAAGTATATTAACAACTGATCATTTTGATCGGTTGGATAAGTGGACAAATAGTTAGATGAGTAAGCAGTTGTTGTGTAAAATAAGTTAGAGCCCAAACTTATTTTAAAATCTTCAATAGTTATTATAGATTCATTAGTGTTGTTGCTTCCAGTTCCACTGATTTGTATTGTAGATTTCAGATAGGTGGAGTTCAGTGGGAATATATATTTCACATTGATAGTTGTTATTTGACCTGGCTGCAGCGTTACACTAGATGGACTTACTTCAATCATAATCTGAAATGAAGTATTCTAAGCTTTAATCTAACAAAACTGGTTGACTATTATTTAAGGTACAGATGTTACTTGAAGTAAAAAAAGACAATTTCAAAATGACAAGTCTTTGTCTGATGTTCTTTATAGAAGTTTTAATGAAACACCGTGTTTAACTACACCTCTGTTGTAATATAGTAGTGCAACTACGAAACTGGTATATTGAGATAAATAGTGATCTCAAGAATGTATGGAGCCTAAATAAATATAAATCATGTACGTATTCAGAGGTGGATATCTATACCCGGATAGAGACAAGCTTGGAATGAACGTTTTCAGTGCATAATCCACTGATCACAGATTTCCAACCGTTGCATCTGATATCAGATACAAACTTGAAGTATTATGTGATTTTTCTGGTTTGTTCAATATCTCAACCTAGGTTTATGCATAGACATTTAATTTCAAATAATATCAATGTATTTAAGACGAATAAGTGGAAATTACAAGGCGAGTCTATTTTCTGACTGTTAAAATTCATCGTTAGAATTCATGGTCTTAACCTTCAACCAATTAATGTGGTTTAGAAGCATGTTTAATCATTCTCAGTGACAGTTTATAGAGAAATGTTATAGTAATTCATCAGTTTTATGTTGAAAAAGTATACTTTGATTACTTTGCTCATGTATTGGGTGATCGAGAAGTAATATATGCTTTCTCTACTCAGTTGATATTATTTCGCCAGTTATTATGGCCTTCATTCCTATTTTACTGTTTAACATGATATACAGTGATTGTTCTATACTTCATGGTCTGTGTTGTCCTCAAATAGTTCAATCACTTTCTGTTAATATAAAACTACCATTCATAAGTTTCATTCATTCGATGATCTTACAAATCGTGTACATCTGTTTGTTATGTAGCATAAATTCCATCATACATGATCGTAAAATATCACTGGAAACTTCATTATATCACATAGTTTAGTGAAATTGATTTTTTGAAACGTGTATCCTTCGAAAAATTAGTCTAATGCACACTGAAATACAAGTGACTTGTCATTTTGATTAATTGGAATAACCTAAATCAATATTGAAACAGACACATTATCTCTGTTCATTTCGAATATGAACAACAAACAGAAAACTGAACACCATTGTTTTCAATTGGTTCGTTATCAGACTTAGCTCTAATATGCAGTTCTATTTGCATGAAAGTTAATTCTGATGAAAATCTAATGGTAAACAATATTGTGCGGTTCTATTTTTGTCTTTCTAATTTACATTATGAGAATTTTCAACCATTTATTTTGAAGCTGATTTGAATATCTGTCAGTTACGATCAGGATATTCAATTTTTATGCTTTTATCAAATATGTACCGATGGATACCCTTTTTCGATACATATTTCCTTTAAGAGATTCATTTGATTATCTATAACTTCAAGATTAAATATTCTTTGTATCCGTGTGGCGAAGAATATCATCAAAAAATAAAACTGACAAGTGATATTAATTCAGTCTATGATAAAGAATGTCAACGTTTTAAACGATCTTGTAGTTACTGAAGATACCTGGGAGTTCACAGAGTCGATAGGATCAACAACACCATGAATATATGTTTTGCCTAAACTTTACAAACCTGCACTACCCCTCTGAATAGTTCTTCATTGGTTCGGATCATATTACTACGCTATAACAAAATGGTTGAGAGATTGCCTGCAACTCATAGGAAAATATATTTGTATACATTCTCTACATGACACTTCCGAATTTATTGATTACATACAATAAGTGAATATAAATGACCAACTTATCTTTTTACTTGATGTTCAATTAATATTAATCAATTTCCTATTCACAAAGACTATTTGCTTTATAAATGATCATGGGATTAATATCGAACTATAAAAATCTTACTAAAAGGAATTAATATTACGATGCACTTGTGATGTACACTTTACATTCAGCGACGTAATTTATAGACTAAAAGATAGCACAGGAATGGGATCCCCTCTTGACCGATTACTAGCAGATTGTGTTCAATCTGGAAAACAATTAACTTAAAGCAACTATTGACAACTCCCACTAATATAAAAGGTACGTGAACGATGTCTCTATGATTTGAATCAACAAATGTTCTTTGATTAATCATCTTCTGCAAACATTTGATTTTTACCACACAGCAATAAATTTCACACTAGAAGTTGTAAATAAACAAATTATTCACTCTCTTGATATCACAGTGACAGTAACTCATGAAGAAACTGTAAGAAGATCTATTTACAAGAAACTTTCCTGGAATGGTCAGCTATAAAGCTTTCACGTCAGGATCCACATCTGTTGAAATCAATACTAAATCATACACCTAGCCACACGAAAATTTAGAATTTGTTATCTCGAGTTCATAGATAACGAAATGAACCACTTAGAGAATAACTGTAGAAAACGGATCTCCATCGGTATTTTTTGGAAGCAATATAAAACTCAAACCTCCTAAAGCACAACTAACCTCCTTACCAAAGAAAACTCTTTATACGAAGATCGATTTCAGAGGTGATATAGCTACAGGCATCCTGAAGAAGGTAATTCCCGACTCTTTCAGTAGAGTATTCATCGAAATAACTTTGTGACTAGTGTTCTCTAACCGACCAATGTTCATTACCAATCTCAAAGACAAATTATCATATTCAACTAATTCCATTGCTGTCTATCAATATACCTGTTCATGTGGAGCCAGGTATTTGGGTCGTCCGATGCGTATTTCATTCAAAAGAATTCAAGAATACTGTCTGAAAAGGGGCGAGAATGGCTTAATAAGAAGCTCAACAATTGGACACCTTGTGAACACAGGGCATTCAATGCAAATTGACTCTACTTTCAAAGTTATTTGCAAGGTAAGTGGAAAGCTTTCAGAGACAGTTGTATTGGCATTGCAGAAACATCTGCTGTGTATGTGTGTGTACCATGACCTTAATCTATCGTGACTTTTTATTCATTCCTTCTTTCATGATCATCTACTTCACTTCTATCTTCACTGCAAACCCTTGAATTTTTCTGTTTCTATGATCCTACTAAATACAATTCATCTCAATTTCAGCATTTTATCTTATCATGCTGAGCTTTCCCCATCCAATTATAATTTCTCTATTTATCTTCATGATGAATATTCAAGGTTTCACCAAACGTATTATTATCATTTTTCTTCAGTAAAAACATGTTTATTTTACCTCACTGTTACCACGTTCAGCAAAATTTTATTATCTCTACTATCGTAGTTATGATCACTTTGAAAAATAAGTAAATGTTTGCGGTTGTACAGCTTTGAAAATGAATTCGCCGTAAACAGAATCCTTATCTAAACCAATGCTCCCTATTTTATAGTTATCATTAATGGACTTGCAAAACTAAGATTCTATTTTATTGAATTATCTGTAGATTTGTCTTCACATTATGTAATAATTTTACGTAAAACATAACTAAATCGGAACTGTATTGAACAAATAGAAATAAGAAAATGTTTGAGTAATAACAAGAAGTTGAAATTATTTCAAAATCAATTACAGCTTACCTTGGTGTATATTGGGAAACTTGGTATTGGACTCAATACCAAAGTCTGGGCGGTAAAATTTTTTGTACTCCCACTGATATTAACAAATGTTGGGAAAGTGTATTTTATTGTCGTTGTCACATTGCAATCTCCCATTAAATAAAGAGTATGTTTAAATTGCGTCTACACAATAAAGAAGAATGACATTTTTATAGTGTAAGAAAATAATGAAAAACAGAAAAATGGTTGATTATGGTGTTGTATTGATTTCTTATATCATCAACATATCACTGTTGTATTCGAAGAATTTTCTTACTGCTTAAGCGTCGTATCAATCGACCAAATGTCAGGATTAACATAAATTATGTCTTTTCCATTGATGATCAGTAGGTGAGTTACAATTTCGTGAATTTCGTGAATGAATAAATAAATCCGTTTCCCGGAAAATTGGCAGGAAATTAATGTGGATACTAAAATGTGAAATAATCGATCATGAATACATGCGTCAGGTCAACAATTTGAATTTGAAATCTAGAAGTGACCTAAACTAACAGTGTGTCACTATCACTCAGTGTTTTCGTTATCTTAAAACTCAAATATGTTTTTATTTGTAAGCAACCTTATTACTTGACACTTTCACTACAAAGATACTTTATCTATATCTTGTCTAATTCTAGGAAATGCCAATAATTACGTTATGAATTTGGGCAGAAAACCTTAAAATATTCCAATGACGTGTATCTCACCAAGATAAAGACGAATGACTCGATCATTACATATGACAGTTCTAGTTACTACATTTGTTATCAGCAAAACAACGAATACACTGGGATTCAAAGAATGACTGGTGTTTACCATATCATCTCAGAATGTAATCACCATCAAATACCTGTAAAATAACTGAGCTCATTCTGATGTTTACTATATTCGTCTTCAGATTGGCAGTCATATGCCTACCATGGACTTCGAACCGTCTAACGAACCATCAGTAGTGAAAACAATACTGACAATAATGGAGTGCTCAACACTAATTAACACTTTACCTTCTGGTGTTCGACTGAACGTCGACTCTGAATAACTCTGAAATAGACGTTTAGATTTGAGGGTAGTGAGAAATCCTCACTACCAAACCTACTAAGGATAATTAGATAATCATGTTGAAAGTGAAATCTAGTCCGTGTTAATTTTGATTGTATTCGAAATGTAAACTTTGATTTGTATATCTGTTACTAACTACACTTAAATTTGTTACTAATTTCTTTTCTGTTGTTTGTGACAAAAGTTTGTGTAACTGCGTTTCATGCAGTTTTTAAGTTTCTGGTCGAAACTACTTAATGCATTCATTATGTTGCCATTAACAACTCGAAAATTAGTTTTAATGCATTTCACTGTAATTGTATAAGTGATCAAGCATGTTTATTTTCAATTTTTTTGTAAGAACACAATCTCAACACAGTTTTATCTGAACACAATGTACAACAGAACACTTACTATTTTGTAGACTTACACAATAAAAATCTTGATTGATGAGGCATGATGGACCGTAATCCACTCTCACATAACTGAAGAAAATAAACAAAAATCATTAATTTTGTGGTTTGTTTGTACATATTAGAGGAGTAATGGGGTGCGTTAACAATCGAATCGGCAAGCACAAAAGTCATGCTAATGATGGACAGAAATTTATTTTTTGGTATGGCGTCAACAGAGTAACGATACAGTCGATTGCAAAAAACGTATGAACCAAATGTTCTGTTTTACTTAAACTGTAATAATTAATAAAGACATCATCTAGAGATAGAATCACTATGAAATAATTCGCCGTTTTAACTTTCCAGACATATGTTTACGTGAAAAGCATTGAAATCTTGTTTCACTTAAATCATAAACTGAACGACGTAAGACCACCATTCAAAATGTGAATTGCCATTTCTCCCCAGTATGCGACTCCTCAACAGTTCGCTTTATGTGTACTGCTTCTACGTTTCCAATGATGGTCTAACATTGATCAGTTCATGATTTTAATGAAATTCAGAAATCTCTACAACCCTACACTAACATCTAAATCATGTGGTACACGTCATTTTAAAGACGTGTATATGTGGTCATAGACAAGTAAATTTCTATCACTATTTTATCACATCAACTGGTTTATCACTTTCTCAGTTATTTCATAGCAACATTCTGTTAATGTTTGAAATCGGATAACTTTTAATATTTATCTATGTACTCATGTTCAAGTACAGTAAAAATGATCATTTTGATGTTTAGAAAATGCTAATTAGAGAGAAGTAATTCTTTTTTAACTCTTTCTTTTTCATTATGACTGTACATTGTTTTACATTTTTATCCGATCAGTTCCCTTAACAAATTTAAATGAAGCAAGAACTAAATTAAATGGATGATTTCATGAATTCATCATTGCATTTTACTGCTTCCTCTTCCTCTGTATGAATGAACTAGTTTGGTGGTCTTCAATTATTGACATAAATTGAAATGTGAAAAAATGAATTGCTCTGAGGTAAAAAATGGGCCGAATCAAGCATAAGATTACTGACTCATAAGTAGTCTTAATCGATGTATTAATAGATTGTTTTACTATTTATTGCCTTGTGAATGTAAAGTGATAAATAACTTTCAGCAGAAGTATGAATATTTAGCGCATATAATACAATGAAAATCATGTCAAACGTAAGTATTCAGCTCCAGCTGTTCAACTAAAACAATTTCTTGATTTACCAGTATAATTCTTATCTAGATCTCTTGAGTTTTTTTCTCATAATTTCACACCGTTCACTTTCGATCACTGAAAGTAAGTGTGTACATTAATGGAACGCTGGTCTAGTTACAGTAGCATATAAAGCAATTAATGAACAACGTAGGATTTAATCGGTTTGAACTAACCTACGTTCAGATGTCAAATTTAAAGAGAACGAAGTTGATAATCGCACATCTGAAAAAATTTTATATACATCTACTTTTGTAACATTAAGAGCTGCACTACCATTCACAATTCTGTTGATCCAATATGTAAAGAATGAACAACGTCTTTCAACCGGACACATATTCAATATAAATTCAAACGGTCCTCCAGTACACATTTGTTTATATACATCAGTGGCACTTGGATAATTTAAAGTCCAAGTATTTGTAAGAGTTGTAGTAAATGCCTATGTTTATAAAATATCAAGACTGAAATTACCACGTTGTATGAAAAGAGTTACACAATTAGCAATAAAATGTTTTACAATCCCGAATTTAAAAATTGCTTGGCAAAATCACAGATTAATGTACATGCATGCACAACATGTTTAACTTCAACAAAAACATAGGATTAATGTATTCATAGATGTATATTCAACTGATATTTTAGATCAACGTAAACATGAATGTCAATTACTTACAATTAATTAAAATCATAAACCGATCGATGTTAGGTCACAATTGTAAACCTGTGAGCACTGTACAGCCATTTCGTTCTAGTATGTGACTCCTCAACAGTGCGTATCCACGGTCCTTCACGCTGGATTAACGCCTAACTTAAACCGATACACGATGTTGCGTGACTATCTTGCATTGTATTCTGTGAGTAACTGTCTCACACTACACGATTAGAAATTAACATTGTTGGATGCACGCCCGGTGGTTTGGAGGATGAACGTTCTCACGCGATGCAGAAAGCATGCGTGAAAGATCGTGGAGACGCCCTGTTAAGTTGAGTATTATGACGGAACGGTTGTCCAGTCCTTGCAGGTTTTCACTTGTGCTCTAACATCGATCGGTTAATAATCTCGATAAAAACTCAACAATCTCCACGACCTTATACTGATAATTACAATTAGTTAGGAAATAGTGTCATGTTTTTTTAGCGAATAAATCCTAATTAAAACCATCTTTCAAACCAATGAAAATTATATGAAATTTTGGTTACAATCTCATTAATGAACTTAAGTTAATATGTCATTTTTCAATGTCATTTTTTGTCAAGTATATCCTCTAAAACCTGGAAATTGTTTTCATATCTTTCTTCAGATGGAAAAATTCAATGTCATTATTTTCAAAACCATTAACATCATCTACATGAATGGAATATAAGCGGAGATACAAAGTGTTCATTTAACAAATTTCATTAGGTGTCAAGTATACTTTAATAGTGGTTTCAAATGTATTACCAATTAATTGTTTGCGATAACATTTTACTTTCATGAACATATACTTTACAACTACGGAATGGCTAATCCTTGTGATCCCACTATTTTCACGTCATATAGATCAAAACTAAAGTTCAATAAGTAGACAGTATACAGTTTCATATCAATAATGTGTTTAAGTAAAGTGACGCAATTTAAATGAGCCACTTATGGAGAAAATAGAGCTTAATTTTTTTCCAATTTCTTGCTCTGATGTCGTTTTCTTTCGTGGACTCATTAGTATTGTAGTAATTGATGTTAGAAAATTGCTATATATAATAGAACACTTCCATTTGATACAAAACTGTTATTGAAAATTACGGACTAGTAAGAAGATTGAAAGATACGTTTATTTCACTTCATTAAAAATCTTGAAGGTACATGAGATGAGTAAACTTCTGTTTCCTAAAGTGATACTTACTAATATTCTGATACACTGAATTAATTATCTTATGATAGAAAATTCATATAACTGGGTAGAATTAAGTTGTGTCTGTTATCAGTTGAAGTCCATTTAACTCACTTTATGGAAATTTATAGTTAATACATTCATGGTTTTCAAGCCGTGACTTTCAGGAGAACTCAAAACTATGTTGCATCAGTGTTTCATATGTACGATTCGTTTAAACTTTGATATCATTCATCATACAAATATGATTAATCTTATAGAATAACCCTGGGTAGTAACTATAGTGGCCGGCAATCAAACCTTGCCAACGAAACGTTTTAGCAATATTTCCTTCGACGAACAAGTTTATCATAGCAACATAGCCTATTTGTCTCTGTTTCACAAAACCGATGGACTGATTTTATGAAATAATAACTTTTATGACACAATATTCTCTTTTTCTCGTTTTTCTTATAACTGGTATAATCCACATGTTTTCAATCAAGACTTTAGTTAGGCTTTAGACATCTAATGTTAACACGCTATTTCGCAGTTTCATAAGAGACTAATAATAGAAACAGCATTAAGCTGTCAAGATTACTCACCCATCACAAACATGAGTAAAGCTTTATTAGTTAATGATCACTGAATGGAGAAACTGTAGACCATTATTATAATGGATTACTGGAACTGAGAAACAACAAGTGTTTAGTACTAACTTAAATATACAGAAGTTCTGTTGTTTCATTGATTAGTAAGTCCAAGATTTTACGGAAAATAGTGAGGACTCTAGATTACTAGATGACATTTACGAACCATTTCTTAAGCCAATGTAACAAAATTATCTTAATGTAATTTGAAGCAAGTTGAATGAAAATGAGTACTCTGACTTACTGCTGGAGTGGTGGTAGTAAATATGAAATTACCAAATATAGAGATTGAATTGACTGTCAGATTGTAAGTGAAATTGACCAGTGGTCTGACAGAATTTGCAGTGAACATTGGGATATAGTAAGTCAACTGATTTACTGCCGAAGTCGTTTGATCGGTTGCAATTCCTATAAACGTAAAATATAAATTGACAGTCTGATTTCCTAATGAGGCGAATTTGAATGCTTGAATTTTGACAACTATCAATTTATTGTATCTACGTGCATCTACACAAGAAAATGTAGTTCTTATGGAATCGACAAACGACAATTTCATACGAAATGGATATTAATACACTCGACCTATTACAAACATAACGTTCTTGAAGATTTTTCAATCAGCTGAAGGAATATTTGTTTGAAGGTGTTCAACATTGAGTCGAAAATAAAGAAGATGGATATCATCTACCAAGTTAGCTGGACGATCTCAAACAAGTACTTAATTACTTACTTACCAACTCCTGTTGCCACTAGTGTTAGAGCATAGGCCACCCACCGATATCTTACGTAGACAATTGTTTATAAGTTCTTTTAGTAGTTTTCCAAGTTCCAGCTCCGTACAACTAAACATACTGTCTTGACCTTCGCATTGAAGATTCTGTCTTTGATATTGGTTGAGAGTTGTTTTGAGTTCTACATGTTCTTCAATTGTAGGAATGTCATACTTGCATTTCTAATCCTCGCCTTTACGTCTGCATCTGAGCCTCCATGTTCATCGATGATGCTCCCCAAGTACGTGAGAAAGTAAGCAGCCATGTCTTACTCCGTTCCTCAATTGTGATCCATCTGTCAGCTGTCATACATGCACCACTTTGCACTGTAGTCCATTGAATGAAGTCCGTATGATATTGACGATCTTTTCAGGTACACCATAGTGTCGAAGAAGTTTACATAAAGTCCTCCTATCCACAATGTCGAACACTTTCTCATAGTCAAGGAAGTAGATATACAGTGACGAGTTCCATTTAATTGATTGCTCAACGATGATCCGTAGTGTTGCGATTTGGTTTGTGCACGACCTATTCTTGAGAATCCAGTCTGTGGATCTCGAAGTTGAGCGTCCACTGAACTCCTCATTCGGTCCAGCAACACTGTTGAAAACGCTTCCTGGTACCGATAAAAGTGCGATGCCTCTATAATTCTCGCATTTTCTCAGATCTCCATTCTTTGTATGTTGATGAGGTGTCATTCTTTCCAGTATGTCAATGGCACTTGTTCCTCCTCCAAAATCTTCCTGAAGAGAATGTGGCTCATGTTTGCAGTAACTTCTATGTCTATAGGAAGTTTTGTGTGTGCTGTTTCAATGTCCATTAGATTAAGTGGGGCTGGCTTACACGAAAGTTTCTCAAAGTGTTCTACCCATCTGTTCCTCCGATCTCAAGTCTCGGTGATTGTCTTGCTACTCTTAAGACTGTTCTTTATCGTCCTCATTGTTATCATTGGTGAGTGCATAACACTGGATAATATTTATTGTGATTTCTTCCTTCTTGTTTTGAAGGATGCTTTGATGGATCTGGATCCATGAGATTCCCATCCTATAAGTTCATTTCATGCCTCACTGAACAGCATCAATGCAACTCCCTGAGTGTGAAGAGAATTTCCCTCTTCATGATCAGAGTATAGCAGCATCTCACTCGTATCTATCTTCTTCTGTGCGGATTGGATCCAGTGGACTTCACTGATTTTGAGCACTGTCAAGTTGTATTTCTTCATTTCCACAGCTATTTGAATAGTCTTCTCGGTCTCTCACATTGTCCGGACGTTCCGTGTACATATAAAAATTGTTGCTGTGGTTGTTAGAATGAGTATCGGTCTCATGACCTCCGAAGTATCTCGGCCTTCACCACTAGGCTTCATAGTTCTTCTGAATGAAGATACTTCAACTCGGAGAGCAGAATTATATTGCTTTAATTTGTGTATTCTGATTAGCGTTTGTTTTCACAAGGTTGTTTTCTACGGGATTAGGTTGCTGACAATGACTAGTCAATACAGTTATTGTTACAAATAAAACAGAAGTGGTATGAAGTTTCTCAAGAACGTTCACTTTAAGTACTGACTAGAACTGAGTCTATTATATCAGTCTTATGACTGATCATCATTATTTCAAATAAACTATTGCTATATTCAACCAGGTAAGAAAATCTTTTAAGATTAATTAATGTAGGCTAGTATAATTACTTTTCAGTTGGGATAATTCAAACTAATCTCGATATAGGAATGTCAGTGGGAATATCAATTAATTCTTTCTGGATAAATTTCAAACTAGCAGAGCATTGTAAATTGCAGGCTTAATACTACCGTGTTCATAAATTCACAGTTTGATTAAGAGAGTGTGACAAATTTATTTTCTGAGTTCCACAGATATTGATGGTTTTTGGGACTTAGATGAATTTTGTTCTCTTTGGAACAATAAATTTAACGAATGGTAGACTTGATCGTAGACACTAATTACAATTAAGAATACGGTCAAATGATTAAGAATGGAGATGTTTTTTTCACAGAAATATCTATATAAGTGTTTCAAAGGAAAGAGTAGACATAGGAAATTATCTTGATTTACTGGCGAACCGTCACTAATTTCTTGGAATTCTCGAACTGAGTTGAAATCGATTTACTTTCACTGAATTATTTAACGGAGGGAAACACGTTCTGCTAATTAAATATCTGAGGGTCTTGATAAATGTAGTTGATCGCTTTATTATCAATCAAAAATTAAAAACAATATAAGTAAAACAGTGCAGTAAGTGTTAACAAACCTTCGTAATAAGTTTTATCTATACTGATATAAACCATATTTTCCAACGAGTTCGAAACTAAGCTGACATATGGCAATGATGTTGATTGGCTTAGCATTATTGGCTTGACTAATATGTATTCTTGGTAGGCACCTGGAACATAAAGTTGAAAATATATCGTCTGCCATACATTGGGTTTCAGAGTTAGCGTTAACTTCAGTGATGTTAAATAGTTTGGTATAACTTGGTTTTTGACTGTTTTTGAATCAATAGAAATTAGATCAACTCCTGGAACCTGACTTGATGACTTAAAAAATTAATAAATGAAAATTCCTCTTATACTCTGTAAAAGTTTAAATAAAATGTGTTATGAACCAAACACTTACAACTTACCCCTATAATCACGAATTAATAAGCTCGATAAAATTACAATGCTCTTCAGTGGTTTCATTCAAGATGAATTTTCGAATTTCCTGATGGATCCATTCACCTGTCATGTAAGTCAATCAGAGAGTCAGGTTTGGTGTTCAAATCGAAAGTAAATCCTCATAGGATTAATCTACGAGGTGATTTAATGAAGAATATTATAAATTAATGAATTTTCACTAATAATTTAGTAACATAGTGTGTATCATAAATGCTAGGTATCCAGTATTCAATATTACTGTGCTTTTGCTGGTTACTGAATCATCATACATGAAAGTCGTCTTCAAATTTATCAAATTTTACAACACAACGAAGTGAACAACCTGTTATACATCACTCCAACCTGTGTATGTATGTCACGTTGCAAAAATCATACTTGTTCTAACCAGTTATCAATATTTTTCTGAATCTAAATCACAGCCAGTAGTTTATGGTAGGGTTAACAAACTGAAGTAAAGTATAAAGTAAAATTCAATGTAAAAAAATATTGTTTCAAGTCATACCAACACAGTAGAGTAGTTATCTCGTGGAGTAATAGTTAATGTTTTCGTAAAGTTGGATACACCAGAGGTAAATGTTGATGTGATTATCAAAGGCTTTGTGGTGATTGGAATTATCGAATAACGCATTGCAATATCACACTGAGCATCTGTACATGATTCATTGAAATACACCGAGTTTATTTGCAATCTAGCCAAATTACTTTGGTAATCGGGAAAAGAAAATTAAAAGAAAAGGAAGAAAGACTTGTTGATATTTGTTAGAATTAGAGAAATACTGTAGTGCATCTTCTGATTTAAAATTCATAGAAGGGATCATTACCGATGAAGCCCAACTTCAAACTGAGATATGAATAAATTAATGATTTCAAATTGTCATAGTTAATTACTATAAAACAAAATTAATGAAAGGCGTTCGGTGGTGTCAATAAAACTTCCAATGGTGTGAATGTTTTTCCCCCGTTAATTGATTTAAAAATAGTCCAGTATGAAATCATCTTTATAATGGTTATTAGGGATGAGTTGTTGTTTCACTGAAATATTTTGATAATCACAGTTAGTTAGTGAGTAGAAAGTGCATAATTTCATCACATTCATGAGTGTTTTGCCTAGTGTGAACAACAAATATAGAAGTGGTTATTGAAGCTGGTTAGGTTCAATTTTCATTTTATTCATGGTTCATCGAAATGATAGAAATTTTAGGATTATAAGCAAAGATGGATAGGGGCTAGCAGTGGAATCGAAGATGCTCATTTCGTCCAATTTGGGACTCGTCAGCCGGATGTACCTGCATCTTAGATGTGATGTTCACTCTAGAAATCGAACCCAGTACCGTTCGCTTCAAACGCCATCGTGTTATCCACTTAGCTACTGAGTCCTCAATAGAACGAAACGCGCGTCCTGGATACCACTGCTAGCCACTATCCATCTTTGCTTATTATGCTTATGAATTATGAAAACAGCAAGACAATACGCACAGTGTGCACATATGCCATTAAGAGACTGATAAATTGCAATCCCAAACATCAATGGGAAGTTTCAAGGAAACAATATCAAGTGAATAATAGGACATTTTACTCAATTAACTTTTGAGAAACACTTAGTATACAATCGGCTACGCATATTCTTAAGGACTGTGATAAGGCACATTTTGTAATAATAAAAATAATAATGTTGATACGTCAAATGGGTTTGATCAACAGTGATTCAGTTATGTTCAGTCTTTTCAACGTATATAAAGGATAACGGTCAGCATCATGGATACTACAACATTTATATATATAAATGAAAATTGAATATTAACTCGTTATAGATTACCTACATTTAGGTCCCCACTACAGTGACTGGTAATTGAATGTATGTGGCAATGTAGAACCCTTACACGTGTTGAATTCTTAACGGAAGTACGGATTAATAAAAGGATAATAATGTACAATTTCTATATACTGTGAATTAAAGTATTTTCTCAAATATCTAAATCTTATCTATCGGAAAAAATGTAGTCTAACACTCAGTGGATATTTCTGAAATGATAACTCATTAAAGTATAATGCATTTCTTTGCACAGAAATCTACTGATATGTGAAATGTAATTTGGAAAACTGATAAAACAAACTGACATAGAGTTCTGGATAACACATTCAGATTTATTGACGAATTATGCAAGACAGTCATCGAGAATAATCTCCAAAATTTGAAAGTTTGGTAGATATTGTGTATTCCAACTAGGAATTCTTGTTTGAAAATAGTAAATTACAGGTATTCGTAGTTAGTTTAGCCCACGTTTGATGTCGCGGAATTGATCCATATCCGTATACTTGATTTTTTGTAACATTATACCTGAGTATATATATGTATATATAATGAATTACGTATGTATATTTACACATATATGACTATATGGTTAATAATCAAGCTTACGTTTTTACCGAAGAATAATAGTTCACTGGTGCTACAGTTTTTAATAGATATCCAATTGTTTGAATACTCTGTCTGATTATAATTGCTTCATTTGAATTTACTTGTAGTTGAAAAGTTATCGGCATGTAGACAAAGTCTTCAACGAATTTTACTCGAACTTCTACAATTGTACTAAAGTTTACTGTTGGTTGTGAATTTCGTGGTTCGACTTTTTCAATAGTAACTACAGGAGTTTTAGAGACCTAATTTCAAATAGTGTTTGGAAATGATAACAAAAAATAATTGATTGAATGCAAAATTGTGAGATTGATTACAATTTAAGTTTACATTTACATGCAGTTTATATTTGCGTTATAACCATTCATCTGAAATGATTTGCAAGGAATAATAAATGTTAGGCAAACAGCATGACTGATTAAACCAAAAGCATTTGGGTATGTAGGACATCCAGATTTGGTTGAAAATTACAGAGGGGCTAACGTGGCGTAGTACTATATTTCATGCTGCATTTATAAAGCTGTGCAATTTAAACTACTCCATGCTAAAACATTGATATTTTTGTATTTCAATTGCTATATCAAAAGGGGCTCACAGATGATCCACTCAAATCCAATGTCGACCACATTATTAATTCTATCCATGAATTTCATTTTGATGGTTTGGCTGGTGTTACATTTGAATCGTGATTCAAGAAATACAAAGATGTGTTCAGGGTCGACCTAGAAAAATTTGACGATGCCGTAAACAACAGAGTACTGCTACGCAAACTTGGAACAGCTGGACATGAACGCTACACCAACTTCATTTTCCCTTAGAACCCCAGAGACTTTTCATTTGATGCAACGGTCGTAACTTTGTCGCACATTTTCGGTGAACAGTCATCTTCGTTCAATATTCATTACCAATTTCTGAAGTTGAGTAAAGCTGGAGACGATGGCCGGGTGCAACATGCTGGCATAGTAAGCGTTTCAAATTATCAGCAATGATAGAAGACCAGTTTAAGTATTTTGTTTTTGTATACAGCTTTCAGTCGCTTGAAGATGTCGACGTCATAACCAGAATCCTGAGTAAAATTAGACAGTGTCAAAATATGGCGCTATAAGAAGTGACTAGTGAATGTCAGACGTTGATGAACCTAAAACATGACACATCTATGGTTGAAAACAGTGGCCGGCCACCATACGTATAGGTAATAAATCGTCGGAAATATTTTTTTGTACGCACACATGACAGCTCAAACAAACAACCACCACCGTAGTTCTGGTTATGCGGTGAGTGGCACTACAAGAAGATTTTCCCATATAAAAACTGTCGTTATACTGAATGTCATCGTAAGTGTCATAGAGAATCCAGCTGCACAAAAAGAATCCACCGTTGTTCTTCGAAAACCTATCTCAAAAAATACAGATCTGGTGCAATAACTCACAAAATATTGTTATCTCAGACCAAAGCACGAAGTTACCGCCGAAGAAAGTATGTAACTTTGGATATTATTAAACAACGTACTCGCCTTCGACCCGACACAGCATCTGATATCACTCTCATAAGCCCAGAAACCTGGAGGAATATTGGGAGCCCCACAGTTCGTCCAACAACACAACTAACACACAGTGCATCTGGTGGGAAGTTGAATATTTTTGGAGAAGTACTCTGCCATTTTTCTAAAGGTAATATGATAACGAATGTAACAGTGTACCTTACAACGAATCCAGCACTTGACTTGTTTGGATTAGATCTGATAGACACTGAAACTAGCAGAGAATTTGATTAACAACATCTGCAACCGAATCAGATCTGATAACCCCTTAGAGTGGAAGCAGAAAAATGCTGTGCTACAAAGACACCACCACGTATTTATAGAAGGATTGAGAGAATGTACGAAAGTCAAAGCAGTACTAACCGTCGAGCATATTGTTTAGATGAATTAATAAATGAAAACATAAATCAAGCTTACAGGAGTAGTGGGTGTGGGTTTCTCCATAGACGTTGCTGGAAATGTTACAACAAAAGAACATACAGTTGATGATCCAGAAAACATCTGAACGTACGTTTGTATTGTATCACCCAAGACGTAGGTGGTATCATACAGTAATTTCACTCCGATTTGGAAATTATAAAAAACATTCCATGGGTTATTGTTTCTAAATATACCGATTGTCGTTGTGCCTGTTGTTCTTCGCCCTTGAAATACAGTGTATTCTGTTATTAGCCTGATCTGTAATGTTAGTTAAACAATCAAGTTGAAAATACTATGTCAAAACATTTACTAATATCGAATTCCTTGATGGTGACATGATAGTTCTTTGTTTATAAATATCAACGAAATCAATAGGATAACGTTTAACATCACTGAGTAAGAAAAATCTATACTTTATGCCTGACTTCGAGAGAAATATTATTGCTCAACTTCCAGCAATCAAACTAGTAAGAAGTAATACACACAAAACACTCCACACATATA